ATGGTTTATTCTCCGAAGAAATTGTTCAGATCGGTTCACTATAGTATATAATAGTCATAACGGATCTATCAAAATTACGTTCTTGTAAGGAATATTTTGTATTTAGGAAGGGTATTATAGCTTYCGTGCAACCGAATCAAGTGGAATTTAAGATTGTGCTGCATATATGAGAAATAGACRTGGTTGTAGTAGGATCCGATTAGACCATTTTCACACTGAGACATAATAACATAAGAAGAATGCCACCAACAAAATTTTGTCGAAATCGGTTGGACGGGTCTCGAGATATGGGATTTCGCTAAAAAGTAGGCGGTACCACACCCATCGTTSAATTTTCATACCGGCTTTCATAACATCTCGGTGGTAAAATTTAGCGTATTTAGTTATAGATTTATCGCGCTTTTTGTGGTTTTTAATAGTACCGTTAAATGGGGAGTGAGAGGGTTTATTCACCGATTTCATCCATTTTCACACTGACGGCTGAAGATTTGTACTCAACAAATTTGGTCGTTGTAGCTTCGTATATTCGTTAAACTTTTTAGAGGGCGAGGCCACACCCACTTTAAAAAAAAAATTTGCCAAAAAGTGCGCCTTGCTACTAGAATCCTCTGTACCAAATTAAAGTTTTATATCTTAATTCAGTAGTCATGGCACTTTATGTGTTTTCGGTTAATGGCGATTTGTGGGCGTGGGAGTGGTCTGATTATACCCATCTACGAACTCGGAGTTTTTTTTGTACTAAGGAACCTACATACCAAGTTTCATCAAGATATCTCAATTTTTACTCAAGTTAAAGTTTGCACGGATGGACAGACCGACAGTCAACCGGATTTCAAATTTTTTCGACATCCCGATCACTTATATGTATGTATATCTATTGCTAGGTGAACAAAACTTTAATACTCTGTAGCAACTGGTTGCAAGAGTATAATAAGTTGAAATTTGATCAGAAATACGAAAAGACTTTTTCGACTACCCAATATTTATTATAATAGTAAGTTTTCTTAATAATGTTATTTATGTAAAGGTATTTGTTTACTTACCTGCCTGATGAAATTGAATTGCAGCATTGCTAATCGTTGATTCATAGCTCCTTTATCAGAAAATTTGAAAACGTCTTGGATTTTTTAACACTTGTGAACAAAAACAAAACAGTTAATACTTAAATATTATTTTACAGTAAAAATGTGAAAATCCAGCTGTTAATTATTAATAGCAAGGTGTATGCACTATATATATATGTATGTAAGTATATACTCCACTGCTATCGCTGTTTAAAACGTTATTTTTCTAACATAAACTTTACAGTGTTTTGTTGACTGAAAAATGGAGAAAAGTGAACTTTTATATCCTCAACATGTTATATATATGTATATATTATTTGTCACGAAATCTGTAACCAGAAGGAAACACTGGCGCTCTACAAAATATGTACTGTACTGTAAGTATACCATACAGTACCCGCCGGAGGAAGAGGACGACCTCYACTSCGTTGGATAGACCAGGTGGAAAAGAATCTGGCTTCGTTTGGAATCTCCAATTGGCGCCACAATACAAAACGAAGGAACGACTGGAAGAAGAGGAATGCTTTAATATCCGAAGAATTTTTAAGATCGGACGACTATAGATAAACGTTACGTGCAATAAAATAGAATCAAAGGTTTGTCTTGAAGCAATGGTATCATAAAATTTTTCATTCATGTAGTAAATTTTTTTTTCTTAAAAAGATGAATGGATAACATTTTTCAGTTTTACAGTTAAATGTAATTTGGAAAATGTAAATAGCGTGCCTTTTTTTTAATGACAAAATATTAGAATAAATCTCAAAATAGTTTCATAAGCCGAAAATTTTGAATTTAAAATCGAACTAAGTAGTTATATTAGYTTAATTTGATCTGTAGAAAGAATATTAAAATAAAATAATAAAACGTTGTTCAAAAATCCGTAGTCATTCAACAAGGATTAGGTGCACACATTTCTTCAAGAACGGTAACAAAAGGACTTGAATCTTTTCGGCACATTGTCCCGTAAGGTGYCAATGTTGAGCTAACGSCATAGAWGCAATCGTATTCAGTTTGCAAAACTACTCTTTAGTTAGTGTGGTTTTGAAAATTAAAAACAAAATGGATCGACATTCTATGGTTTGAATATAAAATTATTGCAAGTATGATAGGAAATGATGGTTGAATTTGAGCTCGACGTCAACAAAAAAAAAAAAGGAAATGTGCGTTCACTACACGACTAAGTCCTTCAAACCCCGTGGCGGCAATATATTGGTTTAGGGTTGTTTCTGATAGCGTGGTTCCGACCTATTTTTTGGATATAGGCAAACATGGACCGCCATATATGTATATATACTTAATTACTTATTTTAGATAAAGTTGTACTCGCATATGTTGAATGTAATTACTTTTCAATGTGGACTTCAACATACTTCAGATTTTGCAAAAAAAATGGTTTTCAGATCATGTTGATGCTGATGTTATGGCTTGGCCGGTACACACAGCAGATTTGAATTCAATCGATAACTTATGGAAAATCTTTAAGGAAAAAATTGAACCTGTAAAACCGGAACTTTCCCACAGGGCMCCATAGTCTATTTCGGTCAATGCAATGCCTATAATGTATGCATCTGTATTAGATTACACTACAAATTACTAACATTTTTTTTTATTATTACTTTTAAAAACTATTTTATTTATGAAAGATATTTTGATTCAATTATTTTGWCCTCCGAAATTTTCGAAACGTGTATTTTACCTTTGTTTTTGCACTATTTATAAGTTGTTTCCAATATTTTTACTGTTGCCAATAACACTTGTCATGGAGTAAGTAATATAAATATATTTTGTTGAATTAAAATGAAATTAAATTTTTTTTTAGAACAAAAAATTAGTACTAAGGTTGATTCTATTTTATGTTCGTAACTGTAGCTGCCAYACAAATTGGCGAACTAAACTTAAGTCCTTGCACCTAAAACCYTTTTATTTGACAAGGCATCATTACAAAATTAGGTAATATCTAGTTCTAGTCATCACTAAAATATCCGAACTAACTGTTCAGATAGGACCCTTAGTATAAAATATAAAGCAAGGTCAAGACATACACCTGTGAAAGGTATTATAAGCCTCTATGAAAGTGCATATACATATGCATATTAAATCCCTGCAGTTTTGTTATCGAAGTAAAACAAATGTTAATTAGTGCATGTGGTTTTCTGTTGCGCAATTCTGGCAAGGCATCTGAACTGTTTTAAATATTATTAGCTGGTAGTATTTATAATTYTTTCAATATATTTTCCAATGTACATATATGYACATACATWTGTATGCATTTACTGTAGCTTTCTTTGCATTTTTCACCAGTTTGCTTTAAATCATCTTTCATTTATAATCGATCACTGTCACTGTCAAACRCGGCATTCGTTGCACTTCATTAACACACCGTTACCGTTTTTATAATTTCTCTCAAATTTCAACTCTAACGAATATTCACCTGCTGTTGTCCTATCTACGAAATCCTAAAACATGATTTTTCAGAAATTATTGTATTTTGCCCTTTCGGCCAGCGAAACCGTGGAATTAATGCACAGGTCACTTTATAATAAAACAGGCGTACTTTTTTCGGTTTTGGTTTTAAATTTAAATTAGTGTAATGGTGYGTTTATGCGAGTCCGGCGATGAGTGCGTGAAATCAGAAAATTCATAACTGAGTGACCGACGAACAGCGCGCGAACTTTAATTACATATCTGCATATGTTTTTCAAACTCCACTAAACCTAAACAACAATGTGCCATTACGAACAACAACAATTGCAACAAAAAAGTTGTAGAGACCTTTAATGTCCGAAACGAAATGGTTTTGTTATTGTTTATGTTGTTTTTGCTACTGTTTTTAAGAGCTAAGTTTTTATGATTTTATTGTTGTAATCTTTTAAACATTTTTCCATTGTTTTGGTGAGCAGAAAAACTGTGTGCTGCTGGTTGTTGGTTGTTGGTAGACATTTAAAAATGGAGCTGAAAAAGCGAAAAGTTAGTAAATGTTGCGTTTTTATTGTTGTTGTGGCAGTCACCTTTTGTGGATCATTATTTCGAAAYATACACACATACATGCAGATATATGTATTTCATGCAGTGTTACGTTAAATTGTGAATATATTTAAAACAAAAGGGATTCGGGTGACCTCTAAAAGGACACGTTTTACGACCACCAAAAATATATGTATAAAATTTAGTTTCATTAATTATTTGATAAAAGTATATGTATGTATTATTTGTGTAATGTTTGTATACACTTTCTGATGTAAGTAGTTTTTTTTGCAAAATCTAAAAATTAAAATTAATTCTAACAAGAAGATTAAATATTCCCAATTTTATACAATATGACRTAATTGCACTAGCAAGTACAAATCCATGGCTTAAAATTTACACATACATACATATGTATACATTTGGATCCATACGCAAACATGCCGGCATGCGATGYCGTTGAACGCATTTGCCATTGCCCTAGTAGCTGACTAAGCATTCCCCCTTTTGTTCTTTAATTTTATTCAACACACTTATTTTTGGTTATAATCACAGTATTGTGTACTCTTATWATGAATACATATGTATGTATGTATAAWTACACATAATAGAGAACATTTTAAACTCCCCATAATCTGCATAATTTCTCTCACCTGTTCTGTTGGTATACCTGTGCACATGCGTTGTTTCAAAGCTTAAAAAAGAGGTCTTTGGTTGAAGGCGCTCATGCGTAGATCCGCCAGTACARAGTGTGGTTGAACCATCTATATGCATATGTACATAAATATACATACATACATATGTATATAGTGTGACAACTCTCATCGGTCGAAGGGTTGCTATATACTTGCGTGTCGATGTAAATATTCTGTTATGTCTGTCTATATAAATTATGTATGAATAATGTGAACTTGTACACATACATACATACTTATGTCTGGTGGAACGAAAACAATAAACGTATTATTATTTGTGAAATTTATTTAATTGTGAATATTTATTTTTGTTCATATTTCTATAAATTTTAATTTGAAATTTAGCAATGACTAAGTTTAAAACAACAATTCATGGATTATATAACATTACAGATTCTCAAGCATACGCAATTAATTGCTTACTTCAGCCTGTTCCAACCGCTCGTTCTTTGTTGCCTCACCGCATTCGTATCGCTGATAATCAATGATTGTGACGTTATTTTCCTTTAAGACATCGTTTACTGTGCGATCGGGGTCTAGCAAGTATTCTTGGTGTATGAGACATGTCTCRTCATCTTTATTAGCCACTGGTTTATCTTTTCCTTCTTCGCCAATCTTCACGGGGTTAAGACCAACAATATGCTGGCAAAGATTTTTCTGAAGTTCATCATCTACTTCAGAACCACGAAAAGCCACAATTGTTCCATATTTGCCGATTTGTGTAGTGTTCTCGGCTGCAGCCACATTTGTGGCTGTCGGATGAGCATACCCAGCTAATTGCAAATCATTGCTGGTCTTAAAGCATATCGCACGTTTAATTGAAGCATTTTCTCCCACAGTCCCAATGAGTAACGCCAGGTGGTCTCCTAGTGTTTTGCCATCTGCCGTCCGGAGGTTCTTCAGCGCTTCAGCYTCGAATCCGAGCTGTTGGTTAAAAAAATGAATTAATAAAATTAGTAACGATATTGAAACAAATCTAGAAACAAAAATATAAAACTTATGTTTTGGGTACAGAAAACATCGGCGTATCCGATAAATGAGCAGCTTCTTGAAGAGAAAAGGACGTGAGCCAATTTTCGAATCAATATCTTAAAAATGTAAGAATTAGTTCACGTATACACCGACGGGCAGAAAGTTAAATCGATTCAGCTTATCATGCTGATCAATAATACATATATTTTATACRGTCTTCGACGTTTTCCCGTTGGCGTTCGATGTTATATTTACTATTATAWAATTACAGAGGTATTTAAAACACAATGAAAAGTGCTTTAATGATATGATCTTAAAAATCTTACTTTAAGTCAGCACCACTAAGCTTTTTGTTTAACCTTTTATCAAAAACTGATATGTTCAATTCTTCGAATTATTCTATTAGGCTGTGACGCCAAATTAATATCACACGTTGCAAAACTGATAATACTCAATCATTAGCTTTTTCTTCCGTACCTTCCATAAATCACCATCGAAATCTGTAGTTTCAGTATACTTAGCACAAATGCGTGACACGTGATCGACAAAATTCTTGAAATGCTCATTGCGTGCAACAAAGTCGGTTTCACAGTTGACTTCAACCATAGCACCGATGTTGCCGTGAATAAGCACACCTACTAAACCCTGTGCTGTTGTCCTTTCTGCAAGTTTTGTGGCTTTTGACCAACCCAAACTTTGGGCTTGTTCGTTCAACCATTTTTCAGCCTGTAAACACACAAATTTCGTAAACAAAATACTTATAAAATAATAGCTCATTTAATACTTACCGCATTGATGTCGTTATTATGTTTTTCCAGTGCCTTYTTGCAATTGGCGAATGTGTAGCCGGTCTTCTTGCGCAGCGTGGCCAAAGCACTCTTCTCAACACCGGCTAACGCTATACGTGTGGTGTGGAATGCGCGGGTGAATTGTTGCAACAACATCTTTATTTCACTTAAATAATTTAGCTTCCTTATGAGGATATAACCAACTAACTGCAATGCTCCAAACTTGTTGCCTGCYTACGGGAACGACACGTGCAAGAGAGCTGCCAAGGAAACCAAAAGTTAYATTGTTTCATGTTTATTYATAGAAAACAAATGCAAACACAGTAAGCAACAAACAACCGATGTGAGTGCATTGTTTGAGTGAGTTCGAAAAAATATCATTTGAAATAAACTACASATAATAATAACACGCAATTTTATTAAAAATCCAATTTCTTAAAACTACATTATCCCTTATCGACGAATCACTTGTAAATTTCTTAAGATATTTATCATTGTATGTTAAGTGGAATTCGTGTAGATACGTAACAGCTTTTAAATAAAGTAAATTCAGCCACCGATAAGGTTCTTTTTATTACTTCTTGTAAAATAAWATAAATAAGCCGGTAATTACATTTTCTGCAGTTTTCCAGTTTTTTTGATTGCACAATGAAATGTGTGCGATTATGGCTGTCAAATTGACATATTGTTGTTTTAAAACATCGCATTCCATCAGCTGTTTTATTGCGGATGGTGCTAATGATTGTTAGCTAAAAAATCTACAAACAGATGTCGCGATTTTGCGGATAGCGGATAGCGGAAGTGTACATTTTTTGGTGAAATTTATACTTTCTAAATTTGGCGGTATTGTTAAAATTCGTAAAGTGTATACATTGTGTGGGGTGAATTATTCACTTGCTTTCATTTCATTCACAAAGCCTTTGAAATAATTTCTGTGTCGATCATAACGTCTACGTGTAGAAAATTTATTTCTGAAATCTATTGAATTGAACAGAGAAAATAATTTTTTAAATAACAGCTTTTACAATATGTCTCAACCGTCTACTTCTACCGGAGCCGTTAAGCGACCCTGTTCCAATTTGAAATTAGTCTACAATCGCCCCAAACCGGATGTCCTAAACAGCATTTTAAAATCTCGCGCTAATCCRCGCTACCGATCACGACGCCTTTGGTACGAGCTGAATATGCCCGAGTGTACGTCTGCAATATTCGATGGYCGAATGATTTCCACGTCTCTGCCGGATAGTCTATTGTGCCACACACGGGAAATGCGCTCGAAGAATAAGCAGAAAGTGAGGAAGAAAGAACGTAAGTAAAAGTGTTCATTATGACAATGTCATCCAACTCTGATATTTATACGCTCGACAGGAGTTCGCACTTACATGGAGATGCGCTTGGAACGTGAGAACTTTCGCAAGAAATTAGTRGAACTAATTGCCTGCGAAGATGAAGACGTCGATATGCCGCCAAGCGAAGGTGATGACAAATTTCCGAATAAAGAAGAAAAGCAAATGTTGCGTTACTACTATTACATCAAGCATGGCATTGACACAATCCACGTGGCCCCGATGGGCAAACGTTTGCTGAACAGGTCAGTGCTCYTGTGGAATTAATAATCATAAGCCGTATCATAAAAATAAATAATATATTTTTTAAGAATTACAATACTCATAAGGCCGGAGTTAAATAAATGGCGCACCGAACTCAATGAAACGATTAGTGAAATTAAAGCAGACTACACTTTCGCCATGAAGAAAGCTGTTATTGATTTTGTTTTGAATAATTCATTACCCAGCCTACGTAAAGGCCATGAGCTAGCTTTGACCCCAGAAAGGAAGGAAATAAAAATAATGATGAATCGCTGGCGTTATCGGTGAGTTTCAAACTCGATTTTAATTTAATTTTTAGTGACTAGTATCATAATTCAGTTGTTACTTAAGCAACTTACTAAAACGCTCATCTCATAATGTTGTTGTTGTTGTTGTTGTAACGGCAGAATTCATCTCATAATCGAAGTACTCGGTCGTCTTTTATGTACCGTTGTTGTTGTTTTTGTTGCAATGGTTATCTAGCCCCCGTTAAGGTGATAAGTTATCGTCGAGGACATATAAYTGTAGGAAGCGTGCCGTTTCGGCGGTTTCGGACCATACGGAGAGGGGTGTCAGATGTGTAGGGTTAGCTGCAGGGACTCTTTGGAGGCTGGTTATATATTTGATATGTCGGGGTCGATTCGGGATAAGTAGTTTAACTTGCTATAGTATTCAGAACTCAAGGAGTTTGCCTCCAAGCATGCCATCTACTGAGAGGGAGTGGGTGAAGATGTTTATTGCTCCGCTGTGAATGGCGGTCAGTGCATGTCTGAAGTTAGTTGTGTCCGTAGTCTGGTCCACATAYTGTCTTATGTCATCGACGTAATTGAGGAAGGACCTCTTGATGCTTCTTCTGCTTCAAGGCGGCGACTGCATGGATGGTTTATATCAAAACACTTCAGCAGAAATTTATTTGGAGTGTGTTACCTAAAGGGTGCCCATTTCGAGGTTCCCTACTTCTTAACGAAAAAAACACAGGCATTTCATATTTAATGGGGAATGTTTCTTATCATATGGRAGATCATTCTTTGGAATTAGTTTTTTTAAGATTATCTCTTTCTAATGTTGGGCGCGGTTACGTCTGAGATGGTCCATCTATTAAGTCCAATTTTTGATAACTCATTCGAACATTTCGACTGGTAACTGGCGATTGATACACGGGATTATCCGCATAGACTTTATACTTTACATATTCTCACAGGAAAGAGTCTAATGATGGATATCAGACAATCTTGGTGGCCAATGGACTSGACCAAAACGTGAAATTTACTGTCCATCGAAGCGTTCTCTCAATAAATCCATTGGYTATTGCGAAGTGTGGGAAGTGGCGCCGACTTGTTGCAACCAAAGTCGCCGAAATCACGACCTTCCATTACAGGCATCAAATACCATATTCGGTTACCATCGCCATTGACAGTTACGTTCTCACGGGCATTATTTTTCAATACATACGGTCCGATGATTGCACCGGCCAACACACCACACCAAACCGTTGCTTTTTCTGGAAGCAATGGCAGCACTTGAAATTCTTTAGGTTGCTCTTCGCCCCAAATGCGGCAATTTTGCTTGTTTACGTACTCACTGAGCTTGGATTGGGTCACATCGTAGGGAAAAATTTGGCTCGAAAACGTCTGAAATTTTTTGATCTTTCCAAGAGCCCATTATGCGAAGCGATGTCGCTTTGGAAGGTCGAGCGGCTTCAGTTCTTGCACAAGCTGTATTTTGTACTCTTTCAATTTAAAACCACGACGTAAATGCGCTAGGGTTCCATACGTAAGTTCAAATTGCTGCGAACGTCGCAACGTGACAGCTTGACATGACTCACGCGTTATCTGTCAAAATAAGGAGGTGCCTTTACTTGGATCACCTATTATAAATTCCTAAAAGTACATTACCAGAACCTTATAGAAAGCCATTTGACCTTATCAAAAATTTATTATGCTTGTTTAAACCGTGTCTACTTAGTCATGAGTAATCTCTGTCTGGCAAAAGTCGCKCAATGGAGTACAAAGTAACAAGATGATTACACTTAGCTTTCGCCCATGTAGCTTTGGCAAAAGTTCTTAYTATTAACCAGCGCTTACTAAACTCACTGGATGTCCATAAGTCCAACGCCAGAATACATCAATACATTGAAAAAGCGACTCGTTTATAATCGGATGAATATGGGAAAGGWGTAGCAAGCTCATCGATTTTGCAGTTTCCGGCATTTGCGTTTATTTTTTGCATYCGGATTCACAATTTCATTAAGATATTATCTCACAAATATCTTTAGARTTAGCAGATATCAGAGACATAATTTATCCTTAGTTTCGTAGGCTAATAAGCAACGCAAAGATTACTTTTGATTCTTAGTGATACAAGATGGAGTGCGGTTATGCAGTGCATGAGGAATAGTTATCCTTTAGAATGCTTGTGAATTTCAACAGGCTCTGTCGCCTCACTAACGATATCTCTTGCAGTGTCTTATCCTTCACTCCCAACCATAATTGGCTTGATATCTCAGGCCGCTTCACCTCTTCCTGGACTTGCATATTGAGTTTTAAAATGGAGCGCTCTACTCCTCGTGTTATCTACTGCTAGATAACATATTAGCTGTTGTATTCTCTCATTCATCTCCTTCTGAGGTTTCATATAAAGCAGTCCATCATAATGGGATGAATGAGGAAATATAYCAGCCTTTTGCTAGATGGCGCCTTCCTGTACTGCTGAACTGCCACGTCTCAGCCAGAAKCAGCTTAAGGCTACTGTATTACAAGCAGCGACATCTAATGCCCAGTCGGCACTGTTGACGATGAAGAATCGTTCCCATAACAGTCGGATTGGATATACGAGTACTACATACTATATGTAGCTAAAGCAACCTTTAGGTGAACAAAACTATTATACTCTGTCGATGTGTATAAGAGACAGGGATATACGAGTACTACATACTATATGTAGCTAAAGCAACCTTTAGGTGAACAAAACTATTATACTCTGTCCAGCATGTGGTCGGTGTACAAAAATAAACTCAAAATTTATGTTATTTCATATTTGAAATAAGTAATAAGTTTCAAATATGAAATAAGTCGTCAAATCTGTACGCGTTTAAATTTCCGTCACGATTTCAAATATTTTAACATTTTCCACTAATCGCTGACTAAACCGATTGACTTCATATCTCAAGAATGTGTGAGTCGCTCCGCGAAAACTTATTTAAAGCGGTCACCAGTAAAATGCTTGTCTAGTCAACTCTTCAAGTCGTGAAAATCATAGTCGAAAAGCAAACTGTTTAAAAACAAAATGTTGAAATTGAAAGCCGTCATTAAAATAGCTTTGACATTTGGTAAATATTGCATAAATTCAGACTCGCTAARATGTGATAAGTTTTGTATTTTAGTTGTTGCCGTTATGTTCTTTAGCGTAAGTGCTTATGCYATTAATCGGAAAGCATTGCTCACGGATGGAAAATGAAGCCGAAGTGATTGTAARCTAAACTGATATTTGTTGATAGACAACTGCAATAGACGAAGGTTATGAGGAACACACATATAATATCATATTTATATACCRTACTTACAAATATACATACATATGTACATACTGACATGCTATTCGTATATTTAGCAATAATTTATTTGACCCTTGAGGTTAGAGTTGTATAAAATAATATTTGAGCGGGTATTAGCATATATACATAGATACATACATATACTATATACAGTCATGGACAGAGAAATAACACAGATTGACCATGAAATAAAACGACGTTCATTATTAATAACATAAATAAATAAAAATTTAATCTTTTMATTCTTCTTCTTTATTGGCGCAGACATCGCTTACCTGGTTATAGAGCCTAGCTTACAACGTTTTTCGTTGTCTGGCGCCAATTGGAGATTCCAAGCTTAGTTTTTTCAGCGGAGTGGAGGACTTCCTCTTCCTCTGTTTCCCTCATCGGGTGCAGCGCCGAATACTTTCAGAGCTCAGTCCGGAGAAACACCTGTTGGCAAGAGTTATTCTGCGTTGGTGTAAAAACTGGTTTCAAGATAGAGGAAATTATCTACGACTCCGAAGTTATGACTTACAGCGGTGAMGCGAGTGCGACGACTGTTTATTTATGAAACAGCAGATATTTCGTCTTGCCCTCGTTCATTGCCAGACCTATTTGCTTTCCTTCCTTGTCCAGTCTGGTGAAAGCAGAACTAACGGCGCGGGTGTTGAAGCCGATGATATCAATATCTAAAGCCACACTGATAAGGTCCAATCAGTTTGTTGGCGATGGGTTTTAATCTTTGGCATAGTATGGAATCGTTTCGGGAATCGGATTTTCCTTCTCCTGGCGTTGCACTTTCACTGCCATTCAGCATTTTGGAAAAGTGTTCCCTCCATAATTTTAGTATGTCTTGGGMATCGGTCACTAGACAAGTCTGTGGTCTTGAAACCTTCTGTTAGCCACCGCATTACTCGAGCATTACTCATGTCGCCCATCTTATCAAGCTCTTCATACTCACGCATTTTGGCCTCTTTCTTCTTCTGTCTGCAAATGCGTTTCGCTTCCCTCGTCAGCTCTCGGTATCTATCCCATCCCGCAGAAGTGCATGTCGAGTAGAAAATCGTTCGACTGTCGGTTGTGATTGCAGCTTCTTGACGTCGAATCTTCCTTTTGTTTGTTGGCGTGTGTTTTTGCAGCACATAGCAGTACGAGTCGATGTTAGGACCTCGGAGCGCACGCACATCTAAAACACTGAAGACGGGTTTTTCGATCCCGAGACAGCCAGGTGGCGTGATGAATTTTCTATTCAGGAGTCTAGTACTACAGCCTCAAAACATTTCATCAACAAATTTATTCATTCATTCATCGTGGAGGCTGAATTTACCGACCGTAGTGCCAAAGATACCTTCTTTGCCCACCATTGCGTTAAAGTCGCCAAGCACGATTTTGATATCGTGGCGGGGGCAGCTCTCATGTGTGCTCCAAGCCCTCATAGAAAGCATCTTTGGTTACATCGTCTTTCTCTTCCGTCGGGGCGTGGGCGCAGATCGGCGATATTCGCTTTGATGCGGATTGTAGGTAGACGTTCATCCACCGGGTTGAATGACAGTAGTCGGTGACGGAGTCTCTCTACCACCACGAATTCCACATCAAATTTGCGCTTCTTTGTATGGCCACTGTAGTAAATGCCAAAAGGACCTACTTGTCCCAGTCTTTGTCCTGTCCATCACATTTCATCACTCCTTCACTTTAACGAGSACACCAACCAGCTGGGCATCGAAACCTTCCCAATTAAGGACGGGACATTCCAGGTGCATGCCCTCAAATCGTAGTCCTTAATTCATTTGCCATGGTCGTCATCAAAAGGGGATCTCTTTGTTCTTTTTCATTGGGTGCATCTTTTTACGTGGCTGGTCCCAGACCCAGCGCACAACCCTGCGGAGGGGATGTTCGCCTTCTCACTTTAGCTCGCCYTCAAACGGATGYTCTTAGGCTACCCAGAGGATRTTTGGTCAAAGATTGGAAGTAGTGAGCTGCTTAAGCCATATGTAAAAAAATCGTTTCTGGCCACTCTCAARKTAATGGCGATYAGAGAACTTTCCTCACTTGTTCTCTACTCCATCAACCTCTCGAGACTTATAGAGTGTAATATTCGTTCGTCGAGAGAGAGATATGCTTCTCAATTGCTAACCGATCTAAAAGTAGCATATGTTTGGCAAGAACTATTCTGCTTTTTCTGGTGTTACATTAGTGTACTTAACCTTTTCAAATTTATAGCTGCCAACACTGACGTAGTTTGCATGACGCGAGGAATTTTATTACTCCAAGTGCGTTGTCTTATACTACAAAAGGCTGCACTGACAGCTTTGTTGTTAAGGCCTATGATGCTAATAATATCTATATTGTAATTTAAGAGTATACCTGGTCACGATCGGGAAATTGGAAGTCAGTTTACATATGCTTATACTTACATATAGTCAGTAGGTCTACCTTGTATGTCTTAATTTGAATATAATTTGTTATAATTTTCTTCGAAAACTTAATTTAAATCAAAAACTCAATGCATTTTCTATGTCCTTGCAGATATGACGATAATCGTTGTCGCATTAAGAAGACACTGTTTTGCATTCATCGTAGTGTTGCCAGCATTCTTGATTTATGGAGCACCAAATATAAAGATATGCTTTTTGTAGACATTAAAGAGTTGGCACAGGCGAAGACACCTTATGAACTGTACGATTTCACGGTAAATAATAAAAAAATCTTCCAAATTTTACATACCTATAATGTTTGTGACAATTTACACTTAGTATTTATGTGGACGTCAAATCGACACCGCCAAGGGCTTGCTCGAGAACGAATGGTATGGTGAGATACATCAGATTTTATTRCGTGCCAGTAGACGTGGGCTTCTACCAAATGTGAGGCGTATGAAATTGTTGCAACGCTTTTACAACTGTGTGGCAGCATTGATGACGCAACAACTGGAAGATATCTGCATACGTAGTTTGACGTCCTACGCCGATTTTATTTGCGATTATGGAGTAAGTTAATTACTTATTAATTTGCCATTGATTGTAACTTTACGACACTACTACATTAGAGAAAAAAACCACGTACTAYACTGTAGATCTAATTTCCTTTTCTTCTTTCTTTCAACAGAAAAGTAATCCTGGGCTTAAAGTTAGCCTTGTTCTTGAAGAGGAAGATACTATTGCCTTCAATCCGAACTTCTCCAAAGTGCAGCACGAGCTTTTGCGCATTATCGAGTCCATTGTAATGTCTGTGGACCAGATGCCTCGAATTGAAAATAAACTCTACACAGAGCTGAAAATTTCGGATCAATACCACTTGAAACCGACAATACCAGAATCGATTATAGCTAATGCTCGTAATCGCATATGTGTCATGTTGGAAGATCAACGAATCGGTCCTGAATTGCGTCTGCAAGATTTCGATCAATATATAGACTTGATGAACGGGGTTGATGCAGAGCGCATATCAAAGTTCATCGCATCTGAACCCACATTTGAGCAGTATTGTGAAATGGTATTGCAGTATCGTCGTAAAGAGGAACAGATAATTCAAGATATTTGGGGTGAATTGCGTATGGGGCTCTACGAGTTCCATCGTGAGAATTTCATAACTAATCTAGAACAGTTAGCACGCTACATGCAGCAGGAATTGTTGGAGAAAATGGTTGCCGATCAGCAGTCACAAATTTCTAAATTGGGTAAGGAGTATGAGAGTATAGCCAAGAAGGCGATGACGGTGCCACAAACAACGGCCGAGTTAATGGCGCTCAAAGAATTTGTGATCAATGCGGAGGAAACTGTAATACCGGAAATGGAACAACGCTTGAAAGTGGTGAGTATGCACAAAATGGCGAACTAAAGTAAAATAATATGTCTGAAAATAAACTCAACTCATTTAAGAATATGAACCATATTTTATGGCTGATGGATAATATAATCTACTCACCATTGGATATAAAAAATAACAGCAACACATTCCAATGGTATTTGAAAATGCCGTCCGTTTTCGAAGAGCACCGCTTGATCATTGCTGATAAAACAATTGAGTATCAGGAACGACTTAAAAAGCGCATTGAAGCGTTCCGCCGTGAGCTACAGACCTATTAYGAACAGGTGCAAGACTACGAGAATTGGGGTGATATTAAGCATTTGGCACGTTATAAGGTAGGGAACACATGTTTCACGAATATCGAATCAAATAATGTGAGAATATTCTTAACATTTCAGCGTCGAGCAACAGTTTTGGATAGCCGTCTAGTTGCGGCTATGGATACCATCGATCGTATCAATGAAGAGGAGACAGCTTATGGTTGGGATCTCACCCAATACCCTATACGTAAGAAAACACACGATCAGCTGAAGCCATTCAAAACTTTGTTTGACACTGGACAGGAGTTTATGGAAAAGCACGATGCATGGATGCATTCACAAGTTGGCACTTACGATCCAGATGAAATCGAAACTGATCTGGCAAATATATATCGTGTGATTCAGAAGTTGGAAAAGCAGCTGAGCGATAAACCAGCAACAGCACAATTGATTAAAGATGTGAGTAGATATAAGTAGTAATCTATTAAAAAAATCTATGTGAAGTTAGAACCCTTTACGTTCCCGAACACATCTTTGCAGAGARTAAAAGAAAGATTTACTCATTCGACCAATAAAAAGACAGGCTAGGGTAGTTTTCGTACCGAAGGCCAACCTACTCAAAAGAGTTTAGGCCTATAAATTTCTTCCTGCTAATTTCTTCCTGCTGAAAACGACCAAGAAAATCTGAGAGGTACTCCGCAAGATGGAGTGTTATGGACTTCTAGGGACATTRGTGGTGCATAAACTGGTAAGGAACTTGGACGGCAAAGCCCTAAGGTAGTGGCATATGCGGGCGTCATTGCCATCTTAATAATGGGTACATATCTACAGACCTAGCAGTATTATGACCACCACTCTCAATGCAGTCAAGAATTGGGTATCGCAAGCAAGCAAGCAAGGGTCTGAGGTTGAACCCGGAGAAAACGGATCTACTTGTGTTCACAAGAAAGCACAWAAAAGGGACACAACTCTCAAGGACCGCACTAAGTACTTTGAGGTAGTCTTGGACTGCAAACTGCTTTGGAAGCACAACGTGGAAGAAAGAGTGAGAAAAGCTAGCAATGCTTTATATSCGTGTAGGCAGATACTTGGCTCTCTACCTTTCTTATGCACTGGTGCTACACAGCTAAAGATAAATTCTGCTCTACGATGYGGTAGTATGGTGAACAGGTGAACAGAAATCCGCCTACCAGCCAAAACATAATAGAAAAATAGAAAAGTAAAAAAGATTCAGAGGGTCGCTACCCTGAGCTTTATCGAAAATTCGGCGGGCGGGACTACTGGCTGCAGAAGAATTTACGTATAGAAACTTCGGGCATAGCTTGGCGAGTAACTGGAAAAGGGAATTCAAAAGAGACATAGAAAAAGATGGTCTATACGACGATGTGCACAGATGTATGGTAAACTAAATCAAAATCCGATGGAGCAAGCTATCGGGGTGTAAAAGTGCAAAAATCATGTGCAAACCGGTAGATCGAAAGGGCACAAAATTCTTATTGGCGCTCAATAGAAGATACTGTAGGAACATGATCGGAATACTAACTGGTCACTGTCTGGTGGCGGCACTCGCATGCAGAATGGAGGTGACAGATCGAGAAGATTGCGGGAAATGTATAGAAGAAGATACCAGAGATGCAATGAAGCATCTTTTGGGCACTTGTCTCGCATTGGCAAGACTACGCTTTAAGCATCTSAGGTCTCTACGGTCTGCTMCACTGGAGAAGGTATCGATAGTAAGGGCTTAGAGTCTGTTAAAATGCGTCAAGCGCAGACATCCCAAAGGATGACTACTCTCATAAAGGACCAAAACGGGTCTATGTGTGGGTTGTTGGCCTACCATATTAACTTAACTTATTATAAAATCCTTTGTTAATTCGATAAATTTCAAAAGCAACATTTTGTTGCCTATATGATAATGTGAGTGACATGAAGCAATTGTTCTGATCTGAACTGAGCCAAGTGAACCTGTAGTGTAAGCAGTTTAGATCCTACATACCTAATAAGACAGCACTTAAAATTTCCTAACTTCTCTTAATAAGATTTTGAATGTCATATGTCTTTACAACTAAATATTATATTAACTGAATTCACCCAGATTATAGAGGTTCTAAGAATATATGTCTGTTCAACTTATCAATAGGTTAGAGAACAAATTGAGGAGCTACGCACACATATGCCGATAATAAGCACACTCGGCAATCCCGGCATGAAAGCACGCCACTGGGAGCAAGTATCAGAGATTATTGGTTTCCCTATCAAAGTATCACCAGAATTGACTTTGGAAAAGATCATTGAGTACGGCTTGGAAGAGTATGTGCCTAAATTCGAAGCGATCTCAGAGAGTGCAACCAAAGAGAATAATTTGGAGCGTGCAATGGCGAAAATGGTAGCAGAGTGGCAAGATATGGCATTCACCATTTCGCCCTACAGGTTTGAAAAGCAATATGCCGACTATGAATTAAATAATTAAACAAGATTTATGTTCATTTGTGAGCAGGGATTCCGGCACATTCAAACTTTCTGCAGTGGACGATATACAGATCCTATTGGACGATCAGATAATCAAGACACAGACTATGAAGAGCTCGCCGTACATTAAACCATTTGAGGAGGACATATTGTGAGTATAGAAGGCGGCGTAAAAGTGGTAAACCGAAAGTTTTTTAAAATTTTAAAAAMTTATCAGAAAATGGGAAGCTAAACTGATGTTGTTGCAAGACATTTTGGATGAGTGGTTGCGTGTGCAAGCGACATGGATGTATTTGGAGCCAATTTTCTCTAGTCCCGATATTCAGCAACAAATGCCAGAAGAAGGGCGTAGATTCGCTGCTGTGGATAAGGTGTGTTGCAATACTGTGGCTCCTCACCGGGAATGTAAAACAACTTTTAATTGATGTTTGACCTATTTCGTAGATATGGAAAGAGCTTATGAAGCAGGTGAATTCAGATCCACGAGTAATGGTTGTGGTTGAGATCGATAAGATGAATGAGAAACTGAAGAAAGCTTACGCACTTCTGGAGATAATACAGAAAGGACTCAATGCCGTAAGTGTTTTAAGTAATAGCTTTTTTTTGTGATTCGTGCGACATTTTTTCAATTTTTAGTACTTGGAGAAGAAACGCCTTTACTTCCCACGCTTCTTCTTCCTATCAAACGATGAACTGCTTGAGATACTATCCGAAACTAAAGATCCCACACGCGTACAACCTCATTTGAAGAAATGTTTCGAAGGTATTGCCACAYTGAGCTTTACCGAAGAGCTGGAAGTAACTGCAATGCGTTCATCGGAACGTGAGGAGGTAACCCTAGTCGATATCATTTCCACTGCGAAGGCACGCGGTCAGGTGGAGAAATGGCTGTTGGAGCTGGAGATTGATATGAAGAAAAGCGTACACCTGAAGATAAGTGAGTCATTCTATAGCTACCGGCAGATGGTACGCGAAACTTGGGTACTCTCTTGGCCTGGTCAGTGTGTGCAATCGATTTCGCTTACTTACTGGACACTCGAGATCACTGAGTGCTTYTTTTCGGAGGCGCCCGTACTCAATTTGCGCAAGTATTTGACACTTTGCAAATCGCAGGTAAATTACCTGATTCTAATTTATACAATTACGTACTATACTGGCATAATTATATTAACACACATATCTGCAGATTGCTAAAATTGTTGATCTTGTGCGAGGTCATTTGAATGCGCAGAATAGGATTACGCTGGGAGCTTTGGTGGTATTAGATGTCCACGCACGCGACGTGCTGGCCGAAATTGTAGAAAACGAAGTTTCAGACGCTAATGATTTCCAATGGCTATCTCAAGTGAGACGCTTTTGCTACAGTTTTTATTATGTAAAGTCCTCTATCTTTCTCTGTTTACAGCTCCGTTACTACTGGGAAGACAATAACTTGGACACACGCATGATTAACAGTTCTCTSAAATATGGCTACGAGTACTTGGGGAATACGACACGACTCGTAGTTACACCTCTCACAGATCGCTGTTATCGTACGCTCTTTAGTGCACTAAATTTGCATTTGGGTGGAGCACCCGAAGGACCTGCTGGTACTGGCAAAACCGAGACCACCAAAGATTTGGCTAAAGCCGTGGCCAAACAGTGTGTAGTTTTCAATTGTTCTGATGGRTTAGATTATCTTGCGCTGGGCAAGTTCTTCAAAGGTTTGGCTTCGTGTGGCGCATGGTCGTGCTTTGATGAATTCAATCGTATTGATCTGGAAGTGCTATCTGTTGTGGCCCAACAGATACTCACCATACAACGTGGCATCAATTCGGGTAGCCCTACTTTGGTGTTTGAGGGCACCACACTGACATTGGACCCCACATGTGCGGTCTTTATTACTATGAATCCCGGCTATGCAGGACGTTCAGAGTTGCCGGATAATTTGAAGGTAGTTACTGTTCGCTTGTGTGCGTCGTTAAAATGGAATAAATATCCTTTTCCTTATTCTAAGCTTGCGAAAAGGATATTTGTTCCAATAGTTATTTTCAACACATCGACGAATTCTCGCAACATGTTACTACAGATTATAATAGATTCGTTCACCTGGAGCTAATAGAGATAGATATATGTAGTTTTSAAAATACATGTAAATGATCAGGGTGATAAAAAAAAGTTGATATATGGAAGACTGTTTGATCGTCCGTCCGCCCCTCTCTCTGTGCAAAAGGTTTTATAGGAGCCGATTTCAAAATATGACAATAAGTATGGCATCGGCCAAATTTAAGTGAAATTGTCGGTCTATGAATTACCTCAGCTCCTATATACTGCAATTACCCGTCTGAAGAATAACAAAGTGGCGGGCCGATGGGTTGATGGCCGAGTTATTCAAATACGACGGCGAAGAACTTATAAAAACTTATAAACGATTAGAAAATAAGTGTGCTCTGCTCAATCCATGAAAAAGGACCCTAMATTCTGCGTCAACTACTGTGGCTTAAGGCTGTTTTTGACAGCACGAAAAGGAGATGCCTTTATACCGCTATTTCTCAATTTGGTATCCCCGMAAAACTAATACGGTTGTGTAAACTAATGTTGAGCAATACGGAAAGCTCTGTCCGGATCAGGAAGGACATAAGTTATGTCGTCCGAAACGACAGAAACTCTCTCTGAGAGTATTAGCCTCAGCACCTGCCGGGGGAAGCAGAGAAAGAGAAAAGATCTCCACTCCGTTGRAAAGATCAGGTGGAGAAGGACTCGACTACAYTTGGAATCTCCAATTCGCGCCAAATAGTAAAATAAAATAAAAATTGGCACGCTGTTGTAAACTCGGCTATAACCGGTGTCTTCGATAATAAAAAAAAGATATACTACATACCTACAGGATTTGTCCGGAAAGTATTAGGACTGAGTCGATTTAAAAAATTTATTGAACCAATCGTTACAACTCTTTAAAAGCTTTCAAAATAGGTTCCTTCTTCGTCAATGCAGCGCTGCCARCGTGATTTCTACGCATTGAAGGCATCACAGAAGACATTCTTCGGAATAGCCTTGAGAGCCGAGGTGCATGCTGTTTGGATCCCTATTCATCGGTCTTTTAAGGCAATGAAACAAAAAAAAGTTTGGTCAGGAGGGCGGCTGCGGCCTTGGTTAGGTAGCTGTTTACAAAAGAGGCGGTGTGAGACTTCCATTCGGCTGCGAGGTCTTGTCGTACCCGATTGATCATTCGTTTGGGTCGCTTGAGAACTTCCACGTAAAACTTGGCGTTGACCGTTTGTCCAGGRGGAACAAATTCATGGTGGACGATGTCTTCGATGTCAAAAAAGACAATGAGCATCGTTTTCACTTTGGATTTGCTCATTCATCAGCGACCTCTTCGCGGCCCTCTAAAAAGACCTGGTGCCACCGAAACACACCACTTCTTGCTAAAACAATATCTGGGTAAACCTGCTTGATCATATCAAACGTCTATGTCGCAGATTTACCGAGATTCGTACAGAATTTAATCGCCTACCTCTGCTCTGATGAACGCTTCATTTTAATCTTGTATTACTCACAGAAACTCGTCGCGCGAAAATGTTTGTCCTGACTATTCAGGCGAATAAATCGGCAAATGTTTGAGTTATCAAGCTAAAATACTTGGAAGCATGTTCCCGAATATACTTGAGTAATGTCAAAAGTTAATGCAATTAGCTCCAATCAAATTTTAAACTCGCTTTAGTCACGATGAGACTAAGTCTGTCTTCGCTCCCCTGATATATTTGAATAACATACCAAATCTTATTGTAGCCCATTCACGGTTTCGACCTTACCTTACTTGCTTTTAGTTAATTTCAAACAATTTTGATAACCTTCATGCACACTCATCATTGTAATTTTTTGTAGGCACTATTCCGATCTGTTGCCATGATGGTGCCGGATTATGCTCTTATTTCTGAGATAGAATTGTATTCATATGGCTTCCTCACCGCCAAACCGCTGAGTGTTAAAATAGTGGCCACTTATCGCTTATGTTCAGAGCAATTGAGTACACAATGTCATTACGATTACGGCATGCGTGCTGTTAAATCCGTACTGAAAGCAGCGGGAGCTCTCAAGCTACGTTATCGTGATGAAAATGAAGACATACTAGTGTTGCGCTCTATTAAGGATGTTAATTTACCAAAGTTTCTCAATCAAGATGTGCCGCTGTTTCAAGGTATCACCTCCGATCTGTTTCCTGGTACAGTGTTGCCTGAAGCTGATTACGTCGTATTCAACGAGTGTACGCGAGAAGCTTGCGAAAAGAATAATAAACAATGTACGGACTTCTTTTTGGAAAAAGTTCAACAGGTGAGTGTTCTTCAAATTAATAATCATACTTTATTTTAATCTWATTTCACGCAAGCTTTATGAGATGATTTGCGTGCGTCACGGACTGATGATCGTAGGCCTGCCTTTCGGTGGCAAGACGACTACATATCGTATATTGGCAGAGGCTTTAGAGGGCATGGAGAAAAGGGTAAGTAGCGCACAGTTAAGGGCATTAACTCTTAACATTATTGATATCACGTCCATAGGATGGCAGCGAGAACCGTGCCATATATTCCGTAATGAATCCCAAAGCAATTACAATGGGACAACTCTATGGACAATTTGATGCCGTATCGCACGAGTGGAGTGATGGCGTATTGGCGGTCAATTATCGCCAGTTCGCTATTTCTGATACACCCGATCGCAAGTGGTTGATTTTTGATGGCCCTGTTGATGCTATATGGATTGAAAACATGAATACTGTACTAGATGACAATAAGAAGCTTTGTCTCATGTCTGGTGAAATTATACAACTTTCACCGACTACCAACTTAGTATTCGAGCCAATGGACTTGGAAGTCGCCTCGCCCGCTACAGTATCACGTTGCGGCATGATCTACATGGAGCCTAGTTCCTTGGGTTGGGAACCACTCGTCACTTCATGGAAGAACAGCTTACCACCCTCATTCCACGTTGTGAGTAAACAATTAATCTCTGCGCTTATAATGCGATTTTGTCCACTTTTGCTGTACATTGTACGCAAGGGTGGTTTACTTGAAATCGCACCGACATCTGATACCAATCTCATCGTMTCCATGATGAACATTTTCGAATGTTTCATTGATGACTTCAAAGATGAAAAGTATGTTACAAACTTATCGGATTTGGATTTTCGCGCGCAGATTGAAGGGGTTTTCGTTTTCTCATGCATTTGGTCGCTGGGCGGCGCCTTGGATTCYCGTAGCCGTGAGAAATTTAATATAGTTTTTCGAGCGTTGATGGAGAAAAATTTTCCAGAGCAATTGTATACAGATTTCGGYGTACCAGAAGAATTGTTTGTGCCTGTGTTGACCAAACCATTTATATTTCCAATACCGAAATCTGGGTCTGTATTCGATTATCGTTTCATTAAAGAGGGCAAAGGCAAATGGAAGGCATGGCAAGACGATGTCAACAGCGCACCACCGATACCACGTGACATACCCGTCAATCAAATACTGATTACGACAAATGAAAGTGTGCGTGTTACTGCGGTGTTAGATCTTTTAGTGCGTCACGGGAAGCCTATAATGCTGGTGGGTCCTACCGGCACGGGCAAAAGCTGCTATGCTTTGGATTATATGCTGAAGCGTATGGATGTGAATACTTACAAGCCATTACTAATCAGTTTCTCAGCCCAAACTTCGGCAAATCAGACACAAGATATTATCATGTCGAAGTTAGATAAACGACGAAAGGGTGTCTTTGGACCGCCCTTGAATAAAAAGTTTCTTATATTTGTGGATGATGTGTCAATGCCATTGAAGGAAACCTATGGGGCGCAACCGCCTATAGAGTTGTTACGCATGATGTTAGACCATTGGATGTGGTATGATCGCAAAAATATTGTGCCTATGAAATTGATTGATCTACAGATGATAACCGCRATGGGACCACCTTCAACGGGCAATACAGTTACACCACGTTTTCAACGACATTTCAATGTGATCGCTATCGATGAGTTCAACAATGAGATTCTCAACACGATCTTCAGTAAAATTGTGCTGTGGCATTTGGATACTCGGTAGGTAGTGTTTACGTTAGTTTAATTTTCTTCACATAACGGGGTCATATATTTCCCTGCATATTAATGCAAGGTATAACTTAACTAAATATTTAGTTATCGTGATACAATTTAGTACACTTGCTCCTCAGCATTCTGTGGATATTGTTATTGCATAAAGCCAGAATCGAAGCGTTACAGATCCATTGTGAAAGTGGSAGGAATCGGTCCACTTAAATATAAACCTCTTTGCACTTTATTGTACCGAGCACTTTGAAACTTTCATCTAAAAATGTTCCCAAACATGGGGACGCTTCACGTTATGTAATGTGAAATATGGCATCCATTTGTGGTGTCCCAAGGAAATGGAGTGAGTTTACTTCCAAATAAGAATGCAATGACTCTAGCTTTTCCAAATAAAATTATTTTCGTTTTTATCGCCTATATATCGGTCATAAACTGGTAATTTGGATCAATAGATTTCCCTGGGACCTACTTGGGAATCAAATTTTATCAGTCCGCTTCRTTTTAACATAGATCTTAATTTTTTGTTCACCTAACGGTGGTATGTATCACCTTAAACTATTTGATCTAGGGTTACCTAAATATATACACAAATGATCAAGATGACGAAAGATGTTGAAATCCGGGTGACAGTCTGTCTTTCCGTGCGTCCGTGCATGCTGTAACTTGAGTAAGAATTAAGGGGTGAGCTGAAAATTTTGAAAAAGCAGGCATGGCTCTGCCCTCTAATAGGTTTAATGTACCTATGTGCTAGACAAACAAAGGTACAATAGACAAATTCGCTCCGGACAATTCTAATAAGAATTTTTACCGACAGTGTGAAATTGGATTAAACCGGCTGTTAACCCCGCTCACTCCCCATATAAGTGCACAGTTAAAATCTACTAAAATATAAATAAATAACTAAATAGGCCAGATACTTTTATTTTTAACCACGAGATGGCATGAGTGAGCTTTAAAGGAGCCATTGTCGAAATTTGGCGATGGGCATGGCTTCCATATACCTAATATAAAGATATTCGAACTTTCGGATGATATCGTGTATATCAGCTAATATATGAGATCGGGTTGTACCCGAACTTAGCCCTTCCTTTCATGTTTAATACAAAGTTTTATCAATTTGAAGTAATTTCTGGAGCTTTGATTCTTGCGAGTTGCAAGGGTATAAAATATTCGGTTATATCTCAACTTAGCCCTTCCTTACTTGTTATTAATAAAGTTCTTCAAACTCTTGAAATATTCTACGCGTTTGTAATTCGTACAAATTGCGAAAGTATGGTACGTTCGCGMACTTCCTTAACTCTTCTTTTCAATTCGCAGTGGTTTCTCCAAGGAGTTTGATCCCTGCATTGATGAAATCGTCACAGCTACTTTGAATATTTACAATGAAGCAAAGAAGAATTTGTTACCGACGCCAGCTAAATCACACTATCTCTTTAATTTGCGCGATTTCTCGCGTGTTGTACAAGGTGTACTGCTCTCTGTGCCTGAAGCCACGGAAGATTTGGATTCCATGCGTCGTCTGTGGGTACATGAAGTGATGCGTGTTTATGGCGACCGTTTAGTGGAGGATAGTGATCGTCATTGGCTGTTCGGTGCTATTTGTGAAAAAATCAACAGACATATGAATAGTACACCAGAGATGCTATTCGAGCGGCTTATACCAAAGGACAAAAGATTGACCGAGTCAGATCTACGACGTTTAATCTATTGTGATTTCGCCAATCCAAAGGCGGATAATAAAAATTATATTGAGGTTTTAGATCTTGAAAATTTGCGCAATGTAGTGGAAGCGTACTTGGTTGAATATAATAATATGTCGAAAAAACCGATGAACCTAGTACTCTTCCGCTTCGCGATTGAACACTTATCGAGAATATGTCGCATAATAAAGCAGCCACGTAGTCATGCTCTACTSATCGGAGTCGGCGGCTCCGGACGTCAGAGCTTAACTCGTTTGGCTTCGCATATATGCGACTATGAACTCTTTCAAGTCGAAATTACGCGCTTATATGGACCSAATGAATGGCATGAGGATATTAAAAATATCTTGCGGAGAGTTGGCGCATCGGAGATGCATGCTGTATTCTTGTTCACTGATGTACAGGTGGGCGCACTAAAATRTGATTTATAATATTTGTATTCTTTATTATGAACCACAAGTTTATTTCTACGAAATAATGCTGGTTTTGGGAAAACATTTTACGGCATAGATAAAAGACGAATCCTTTTTGGAGGACGTAAATAATTTGCTGAATTCTGGTGAAGTGCCAAATTTGTTCACCAATGAGGAAAAAATTGAAGTGGTCGAAAAAATGGCTCAGATCGACAAGCAACGGGACAAATCTATGCAAACCGACGGAAGTCCAGTGGCACTATTCAACTTCTTCGTTACGGTAACTGCAATATCGTGAAATTTATGCACAAAAACGCTTTCTTATTATAACAATTTATTTTGCAGACCTGTCGCGATCAGCTGCACATAGTGCTCGCAATGTCTCCCATTGGCGATGCTTTGCGCATGCGCATACGCAAATTTCCTTCTATTGTCAATTGTTGCACAATCGATTGGTTCCAACCTTGGCCAGAAGATGCTTTACTGGCTGTGTCGACGCGGTTTTTGGCTAGTGAAGATCTCTCCGATTTGGAACGCAAGACGGCTATTGATATGTGTATGGAATTCCACACTTCAACGCAGAATTTGTCMGAAGTATTTGCACTGCGTTTAAAACGTTACAACTATGTAACGCCTACATCCTATCTAGAGTTAATACAAACCTTTAAGGCRTTGTTGAATCAGAAGAGAACGTAAGTGAATGATTTTTCGTTTGAAACCCTATTCTAATAGTAATGTTTGCGGCCTTTTTGCCTCCGCGGAGCTTACTTCCAGCGACATCTTCTCCGCGCATATAGGCCCGAGGGACTTCCAGATCACTGCAGGGTCTTTCAGAAGTGACAGCCACCAAGTACATCTGCTACTTCTCTGAAGTGCGGTTTCTTTTAGACAACTGACTGTTAGCTCCGTGTTCGTCTTTGGAGTGCATAAACTGCCTAGCATTAGTATTACCATATCAATCTATGGGCCTTGCTCAGCAAGCGTTGGTCTTGGTCCAGTTCTTTAAGGGTTGCGTAAGCCTTTTGCCCCTGAGTGGGACGTAAAAGGTACATAAACYTCTTGATCTTGACCTCCTCCTCTGTCCAGCTTTCGTCAGAATAAGTTTGAATCATATTGTTTGYCATAGTTTCTACAAATCCGGCGAATTGACATCTAAATAAGTTGCTGCAGGCTCTATTCGCTTTGTCGATATGCGATGGCCTTTTGATCCATCCTTAAGAGTTCTAGGTATTACAACAGACAGGTGTAGCTGGCTAAGTGGGATTATTCCTGGCCGCATGAAAAATCAGCCTACCTTACCTAACCTATTGTTTTTTACCACGTGAACCTTTGAAGTTGATATTTTTCAAGTCATTTATTGGTATGAGATCATAGCTTAACCTATTCAAAATGGAGTGAACAGTTAACTTCAAGGGAAATTTGCTCACTTTTCCAGCTCCGACACTCAAGCTGATCCTTGCTTATTTAAATTGCATTTGATTTGATTTTGGTTTCTTTACACAGGACCATTTTGACTAATAAAAATCGATATTTAACTGGGATATCTCAGCTCGACATCGCAGCTCAGCAAGTCGGTGTGATGCAAGAAGAGTTGCAAGCCTTGGAACCMAAACTGAAGGAAGCCTCAGAGATAGTAAGTGAAACTTCTTGTTGTAAATGATTACAGCTTACCAAAGTTAAATCTTTCCTTTTTTTAGGTGGCTGTGCAAGTGGCAAAAGTAACCGCCGATAGCAAGATTGCCGCTGAACAGCGTGAATTAGTGAAGGAGGATGAAAAAGTGGCCACTGAGCAAGCCGGCAAAGCACAAGCGATCAAAGACGAATGCGACGCTAAATTGAGTGAAGCACTGCCGATATTGAATGCAGCCTTAGCAGCTCTAAATACCTTAACCACAGCCGACATTGCTGTGGTGAAGACCATGAAGAGTCCGCCGATTGGTGTGCGCATTGTCATGGAGGCTGTCTGTATATTGAAAGAAGTGAAACCGGATAAGGTGCCAAACCCTTCGGGTTTAGGAACGATAGAAGACTACTGGGGYGCATCGAAGCGTGTTCTGAGCGACATTAAATTCCTCGACAGTTTAATTAATTTCGATAAAGATAATATACCACCGCAAGTGATGCAAAAATTGGCGCAGCGTGTGTTGAGTAATGAAGCTTTCGATCCGGATAAAGTCAAATCGGCATCAACAGCTTGCGAGGGTCTATGCCGTTGGGTAATTGCATTGACCAAATACGATGTGGTAGCGAAAGTGGTGGCRCCGAAAAAAATCGCTTTGGCAGCAGCCGAAGCGGAATATAATGTAAGTTCGTCTTGCTTTCATACTACGACCCAATAGTGAATGAGTGAATAATGTTCCTTCCGTTTTCATTTATGTTACACGCAGGCCGCCATGAAGTTACTGAATGAAAAATTGGCGCAATTGGCACGTGTTGAAGCCAATTTGGCAGCTATTCAAAAGAAGCTAGACGAAGAGTTGGCGCAATATGCGTAAGTAATCATTTTCTGTGCGGAAAAAAGACCACAAGACTTGCAATGTGACTTGGTCTTAATGTGAATTTATAAACTTTATATGTGCAGCATTCTTCAAGGCCAACATGAAGCTTGTACCAAAAAGTTGCAACGTGCGCAAGAATTGATATCTGGTTTGGGTGGCGAACGCACCCGTTGGTTGGACACGGCCAGAAACTTGGGTCGCGTATACAATTCCTTAACTGGCGATGTGCTGATAGCATCTGGTGTCGTTGCCTATYTAGGCCCCTTYACCATTGACTATCGCGTGGGACAGATTCACAAATGGGTGAATAAGGTTGCMTCCTATGGTGTGGTATGCAGCGCAGATTTCTCCTTGGCCGTCGTTTTGGGCGAAGCTGTTGAGATACGTGAATGGAATATTTGTGGATTGCCCACCGATGCATTTTCTGTCGAGAGCGCCATCATTTTGAAGTAAGTTCCAATTAAAAATTTATACTTCCCAAGTTATTAGAAGTTTAATATTATTATATAATTGTTATGACTTAAATCTTTCGAAAGCCGTATTCATGCCTATGAAAGTGTGAAAGTTTTAAATATATACTGCCCAAGTTATTAGAAGTTTAATATTATTATATAATTGTTATGACTTAAATCTTTCGAAAGCCGKWTTCATGGCTATGAAAGTGTGAAAGTTTTAAACGAACTTTAGATATTTATTATCTTGTAATTGATGTCTTAACTTTATCCTAAGCCTTATCTAAGTAGGAAATAAACTAGAATACATTGAGTATGATGTACCCGTTTCTTATTGTGGTCCCATGTATTTAACGGAACCAACGTCTAGACTGAAATGCACAGTACACATGGCTTGGAATTTGCTGTATTCCATGAAAAAGCCTTTCTAACGGTTGTTTTTTTTAGACGTGTTGTCTTTAATGAATCTATATTTTTTCGAGGTTGATCTTTTGACGCCTGTTACTTTWTTTATACGTAGTTTTTTGTAAATTGTGCAAATTTATTACCAAACTAATGGTTAGGTTCGCTCGATGCATCGCGCGCTGCCTTTCATATTTCATCTACATGATCGTTCAGCAGAGTCGGTAACTCGAACTAACAT